GTTTCATAACGATTAAAATTAGGAAGCCTACAACCAATAGTGGATGAATCTTTTACTAATAGGTCCCAATCCTGTTCAAAAAAAAAATTTAAATTAAAAATCTAGAACTATATTAAACAAATGAAAAAAAAAATTTACCTTCAATTGACTCTGAGGAACGAGATTTTCGGATAAAAGGGAACGCTTATTGACACGAGATTTTTTCCGTTTCACATATTTCCTCTTGCCTTCTTTTTCCAATCGCGAAACCCTATATATTTTCCTCATTTTTTTAGGGTTCTTAGTTCCCCTCACAGAAGAATCGTCTTCTCCATCGGACACGAAATCATCAGAATCAGTAGCATCCACGCTAGAATTCGAATCAGAAACATAATGAGAAGACGAAATTTCTTTAACTTTCTTCCTTTTCCCTTGCATTTTGTTTGTCGGAGAACAAGAAGAACGAGAATGCCTTTTAACAGAACTTTTCCTTTTCTTAGACTCAACAACAAGATTGGTAAATTTTTTGTTTGTTGATCTAGTTAAAACCATAAGAAATCTAGGGGAAAAATCGGACACAGAAGAAGCATACAAATTTTGAAACCACAACAACCAGTTATTGAAAGGAAGATGAAAAGAACAAAAAAGCAGTTTCTGATAACTGACATACGAATAGACGTGACATTGATAACAAAAAAAAGATCAAAACCGCCCAATAAAATAAAACAACAGTTACTCAAATATATGAATTAAAAATTTGAAAAAGGGGTATATATGAAAAATAAAAGGAGTAAAATTGACTAAATAGTGAACAAGTCCTGAATTGAAAAATGACTAAGGATATAGACATAGGATGTCAATTTTTCTCGTTTAGTTGTATTGTGGTTGGGCCTTAATATTCCGTTCGTACTCCACGAGTTTCGTTCGGTCTCTCCGACTAGCTTTTTTACTACAATTAGGTTGAATGAATTAATTAACTTTGTGGGTTCAATTAAGATATTTTATTAAAAAAAAACTTAAATATGGTAATTAATATGATATGATTTTAAGTAGTGTAATCTTGAGATTGAATATTTAATCAATTAATATGATGAAAGATTAATTAGTATTTAAATTCTCTTAAATGAATATTACAAACAAACAAGTTAAAATTATAAAAGAAGGAAAAAACTCAACTGATTTTAAATTCTCTTAAATGAATATTACAAACAAACAAGTTAAAATTATAAAAGAAGGAAAAAACTCAACTGAAACGGTTCAAACACTAAAATTAAATTACAAAACAAAAATAAACAAAAAATCCATCATTAAAGCTCAAGCATAACGATGATTGATATAAAAAAACACTAGTAAGGTTTATAAAATAGATAATTTGATAGACTTATTGTCACCATAATAATCATTGAAATTTTCTCCGTCATGCCCGATGTCGTTAAGAAATCCAAAGTGACCAGTGTTAGATGATGGCAGTGTTGCTTGAGATTGTTGTTGCTCAATTTCTTTTTTTTTTTTTTT